ATGCATGACTCTTGAGAGCAGCTTTATTCACCACTAACAAAAACAAGAAGCAGCCCAAATGTTTGCACACATTGTGGATTTTAAAATTGTGGTATATCCACACAATAGACATCACTTTGCAATAAAAAGGAAATATTTCTAATATATGCGATAACATACAGTTCAAAGGCAGTAAACTAAGCAAAATGGAAGCCAGACAGAAAACACTATCCATTTTATGATTCTAGTTAGATGAGGTTCTAGAAAGTCAAAACTGTAGTGAGTAAAAGCAGTCCAGAGCTGGCCAGGGGATCCAGGAGATTCTGACCTCAAAGGCAGATTGTGATTGTGATGGAGCAACATGAGTCCACATTTTTCAAAACTCACCAAATTCTCTTCCTTTACACAGAGAACTTTATTGCATGTAAGATTAGACTGCAGGAAGGCAACAAAAAGAATTTCTAGCTTCTTAAATCCTAGGTCAAACCTTTCAGCCCCATGGGGCTTCATTTCCTGCTTGGGGTGCATTCCCTTGTGGCCCGTGGGTGGGTGGTGCCCTCCTCGGAGAAGCAAGTCAAGTGTGGGTGTGGGTGTGGGACCCACCCAGGCCATGGGCCTTGCTTTCTCTCAGAGGCCTGAGCCCCTGGTTTCTTCTTCCCTTGGTCAGCCCCATCAGACCTTGGATTTCATGGTCCGCCCTGCCTTTGAAGTTGGGGCTGGCAGGGGGCTCGCCTGATTCAATCTGTTTGGCCAGAAATTGGTTCTTCGCTGCTTATCTCCTTTTTGACTTACACCATGTTTTCAACTTTAGAGTCTATTTTGGAACACCTTTAAATGTCTGTTACAGTCATTTTAATTCTTGTATACCTGCACTATATATTTTGTCTATTTTCAAACCTTAGGCATCCTTTTATTTTAAGCATATAGTTTGGAAAGAATTCATCACTGGAACATTTGTTTTTAAGTCCAATACAAAAGATTCTTTCTTTTAATCAATTCAACCATTTATATTCCCTGTAAGTACTGTTTTTGGTTTGTTTGTTTGTTTGTTTTTGGGTACTGGGGATTGAACTCAGGACCTTGTGCCTGTGAGGCAGGTGGCAGAAGCACTGAGCTAAATCCCCAGCCCACTACTGTTATAATCACATTTATTTCTGCTGTTTTATTCCATTATTTTCCCTTTCCCTTTCATTTTGTTTTCTCTTTTTTCCTACTTTTCATTAGGAAATGGAATTGTTTTCAGCTAGGTGAAAGTTGCATGTTTTATTATTTTAATTGCGCTTATGTAGCACTTATCGTGGCCCGAAATTCACTGTATCTGCAGCCTCACTTCGTAGCATACTGTGAAACCATGGGATCATCACTTGCTTTTTGGTTTCCTTTTGGTGTGGCTCTCTTTTGTTTGAATGACAATAAATCCTGCTGGGCTAATTCACTCTCCTTTACCACTCTGCCTAGCGCCCTGCTGGATTTAAGCCCCTTCTGCCCAGGGACAGTCTCCCATGGAGGACCAGCCACCTCCCATTGCCCAGAGATTCTCAAAGTCTGAGGGCCCATCCGCCGACCTTCTCTTGCATTCTGGAGCATCAGAGGGTCAGGTCTAGGGGAGGGGCCAACAATCTGTTCAGCATCTTGCTAGGAACTGGAAGTTGTCCAAGCCCCTCCTGTTAGCAAACTAGGACTCCGAATGGGACTCCCTGAGTCATCATCCATTCCAGTAACAGCCATTGATCAATGTCCAACCTACACCCGGCGCTGTGCTGCGCTCTGGGCTCTGCACCAGCAGGAGCAACACGAAGCCCGCACTTCCTGTGGGCAGACACTCAGAAGAGGCAGGAACAACTGGATGTAACAATTGTCACTGGGAGAGTGAGAACCAGGGCTGGCACGGGGTGGGGGACACAGTGTGGGGTGAGCGGGTGGCTCAGCTCAGTCTTGGGGGAGGAGGGGAGAGCTGGGGTGCACATGTGAGGGCAGGAACTTCGCTGGTGGAGTCAGAATACCAGGTCAAGGGCAGAGGAGAGGTAAGGGCAGGTGGAAGCCAGAAGAGGAAGAGGCTCCTGCAAGGACACACAGCGACGATTTCTGAAAGTTGCTCCTGCACAGAGTGGGTGGAGAAGCCCGGCTCTGAGCAGCCTGTTAGATGCAGAGCAGATACCACAGAGCCCTCATTAGTGGACTGGCGAGTGAACGGGCCACTTCTCCGAGTCTCAGGCTCCTCACCTCCTTGGGGAGGGCCTGGGTGACTTTGGACTCCTGAGGAACGGTGAATGGCCGTGGGCTGTTGACTCTCTCCCTGAACCAAACTGTAGAGTTCTGGGGAGGCAGAGGAGCAGCATGGACCTGCCGGGCACAGTGAAGGGCGGCCCAGGCATTCTGGGCTTTTCTCAGCAGCATCCAGGTGGCTCCAACCCCACTGTCCATGCAGAGCTCGTGCAGGGCACCACAGGATCATGGCAGAACCGGAGAGGGTAATGTGTGTCCGTGCTCCTGCCTGGAATTTGCTCTGCTGTGGGAGTCATGGAGAAAAACGTGGCAGTGGTTCAGATCAACAAGGGGCATGAAGATGGAGGAGGCAGTGAGGCACCAGGAAGCGCAAGCTATCAAAATACTATCTCTTGCCTGGTGGATCAGATCAGGACTGTGGGCCAGCCGGAAAGCCTCCTCCAGGCAAACAGCCATGAGGTCTCCTGCCCGGGTAACAGGACAAGATGGAAAACACATTCAATGATGAAACCCTATTTAAAAGGCGCAAGTCAAAACAAATAAATTAACTTAGTGTGTTATGAAACAATTACAACAATACCCACTGTCCTGGCTGCACAGCCGCCCCCACCTCTAAGGTCTTCTTTCTGGCTTGAACCCCGGGGTTTTGGCAAAATGTAAAATGGCTTCAGAGTACAGTCCGTGCCTTTGGACGTGGCCCGGCTGGCGTCGTTCTGTGCGGTCCTCAGCAGCACAGACGGCGGGCTGGCTGCCCCAGCATCCTTTCTTGCTCCCAGATGCACAACAGGGAGGAGCTGCTCAAGGCCTGGCCAGAGGTGTGCCCACTCAAAGTGGGCTCTATCATGGCCATGGGCGTGGTGGGGTCTGGTGGTCCCTGCTTCCGTAGCTCTGGCCTGCAGCCTGCTCTCTGCCGATCAGGTCTCCCTTTCAAAAGCCAGCTCGTTTCCTCTATCCACCCCCTGCCCCCCGCACACCACAGAGGCAAGGAAAGAAGGAAAGAGGTCCCTCCAGCTAGACCTCTGTCTCCCATGTCTCTCCCCAGTCCCGAGAGAGCTCTGGCCTCCCCACCCCCTGCAGACTCAGTGAGATGACGCCCCCTTGGGAAGCAGAGTTACGTACCCCCAAAGATGTCTGAATCCCTGGACCTGTGAGTATGTTACTCATGTGTCAAGAGGTGGAATGAGGTAGAAATGGAATTAACGCTGCTAATCAGCTAACTTTAAAAGAGAGAAAAGATCCTACTCCTGGGCTTCTAAGGAGGCCCCCGTGTGACACTGAGGCCCCTTAAATAGGGAAGAAGGAGGAGGGGGAGATGAGAAGGACCCCAGGGCTTAGAGAAGAGAGGAGGAACACAGCCGGGCAGGGTGGGTGGCGATCACTGCGTACCGATGCTGGAGCAGACACAGCTGGGTGCCATGCGCAACAGTGAATGAGGACATGAATTGATAGAAGCAGCAAAAAAACAAAACGATAGTTTCAGAAGCCATTCTTTGGGCCGTGTGTCTCGCTTTCCTGTTGTAAGACAATCAGCCCCCCACCCCCAGTCTCGGGGGCAGCGCAGTTTTGTGGCGGGCTTCTCCTGTTTGCTGGGCCCAGCCTCCCCTGCCCCTTGCCTGCCTCCCCCAGGGGTCGCCCCAAAGCCCAGGAGGTTTGGGAGCTCAGTTACCTGAGGAAGGAGGGTGCTCGGCACAGCAGCAATGTGCCCTGCCCTGTGCAAGTAGGGCTGCTCCACTTGCATTATCTGTCCTCATTTCCTCCCAGCTCTCCTCAAGTTTGTTTTTTGTTGAGTTAATGAAAAGAGTGTGTGTCTGTTTGTGCTGGATTAATGAGAAGAGCATGTGGTCTGCTTACCTCTCTCACTACAGGGTCAGGAGAGCCAGCAAACCTGGCCCTCTCCTGAGCCAGGCTGGAGCTGGGAGTGCCACAGTGCCCCCAGAGCTGGAGGGGGGCATCCTTGGCCACCCTGGGCAGAGGGAGAGGGCTCCTTACAGCAGGACTGCCCAGTCCACCTGCGGGTGTCATGGCTGCAACCCCCACTCGCTGTGGTAACTGCCCTGGTCCCCTTCGGGGGGATGGTACAGCAAACTCCTGAACTGAGTGTGCTTAGCTCCCGAGGAGCCCATTGCTTGAGATCAGTGACAAAGCATGGAGCATGGCTGCTCTTCTTCCTGTGCCCTTTCCCAGGTCACAGTCGCCAGCAGGGCTGACCAACTGACAGCCACCGCCCCCCCTCCCGCCCCCCCGTAGCAGGAAAACGTGTCAGTGATTACCCAACACTGATCACAGCTCAGGCTCCAAATTCATTCATGCTGAGGACTGGCTTGGCCCCTCTGCCTTTCCCCACACTTGGATTCTTCCCTTCCAGACCAAGAACAGCTGGAAAATTAGACAGCGACTTCATCCCCGCCTGCTCATCCCAGACCCCAGGCCCTGAAATGGACAAACCTCCCACAGGTCCCTACCAGGCAAAAGCTCCCCAAGGAGCAGAGGAACTCTGGAGCACCAGTGAGTCTCGAAGACTCTGCAGCCGCAGGCCATCAAGCAGCGATTGAGGTCACTTGTTGCTTCTCTGAGGAGGGATGCGCTGTCCTCGAGGGCAGACTCCAGAGGGGCCATCTGCCCAGGGCACCTCCTTCAGGGAGGGCAGGACTGAGGGACAGAGGGGTCTGCACTTGGAAAGGCTGCAGGGATGCCCGGGGGCTGTTACTAGAAACTTCCAGGGGAAGACAGAAACTGTGCACAGACTCGGACTCGAAGGGACCATGGCCAACAGCAGGGGTCAGAATAAAACCCACTTCCCACACCAAGTCTTGTCTTTTATTTACCTATCTGATTCCCAGGCTAAACATTGTGCAATCCAATCCCATCAATGTACAGTTGAAACAGGTCCCCTGCAGGAATATTGGTCGTAAACATGTTTGCGCTTTGTTCACCCGGTACCACTCTAGTTCATCAGTTGAACCTCAAAGAGAAAAAAGATAACCTTGATCTCAGAGGTTAATTTTTACCAAGCCTCTTTGCAGTAAACAAGGGAGTTAGCATAGTTTCCTTTCAATACAGCACTCTTGATAAAATGTTTGTAGTATAACAAATAAAAACATTTTCTTGGACTCTCCAGGAAATTAATGGCTTATTTTTCCTGGCAGACTGATGTGAGGGATACTAAATTACCTTCCACTGATTAAAGACAAGCCACTGCCTCTAGGCAAAGAGAAAAAGAAAAGAATTAACCAAGCCCTTAGCAAAAGGAGGCAGTGGTGAAAGTTAGGTAAACAATTCGGATCTTCTTTGATCGGACAGTGCAGCTTCCAGATGCCACAAAACGCTGAGAACCTGGAAGCTGCTCGGGAGACTTCTTATGTGGAGAGGAACCTCGGCACTTTCTAAGGACCTACTCTGTGCTTGACTGTCACTTAATTTCCCACCAAGCAAGTATCCTGTAAGGTAGGTGGACCTGACCTGGTTGCAGCTCCAGGCACAACCAAGGGATCCAAGGGGTCCTCTGGGTGTGGTGGTAGCAGGGCCGCCAGCTCAGGATGCTGGGGACAAACTGTTAGGGCCTTTTGGACCACACCTGCCTGGCTGCGCCCTGGCCCCCAGCAGGGACTGACTCGTCAGGTCATAAAGGTCAGCGAAGGAGGGAAGGGGCTGGCAAAGAGGGTCACTAGCCACGTACGCAGTACACAAGTCACTGGCAAACACACGCGTGTGCTCTCACACGCACAACCCCGCACACCGCTGGGAATGTCTGAGCAGCTCAGGGGGTTTGGGCTGAGGGACCCGGAAGCTGACTTCGCAGACCCAGCCTTGCCTCTCCGCGGAGCTTCGCGTGGACCGAATCCCTGTGCCCCGGTGGACTGGGGAGGGCTGTCTGGAGTAATATCTGAGGTCCTTTCCGGTTCTATGCACTCCACGATCCTGGTAATACTGAGAGTGGGTTTTACATGCTGAATGGAGTCCATGAAGGCGGAATGAATATTTCTCCAGATTTAAAATGTCTCTCTACTAATTGAAACTAATTCTCCAAATTGCACATTAAAAGCTCCAGGCCGATTTTTCTGTCTGATGGGCCCTGACAGAGTGGCGCATGGGGACGAGTGATGCGCTCTCTCGCCAGCCCCTGCGCGGCTCCAGCCCCGGAGAGGCTTCTGGTTTCCACTAATGCTCAGCCTCCTCCACCTAAACCTCACAGGCTCGTGGCCCGCCCGGTGCTTCCCTCTCTCCTCTCTCGCACCTCGCACCCGGTGCTCCTGAGAGCCCGGCAGACTAATGGCCATAATTAGCCGCAGTTCCTCCTTCAGGGAAGGGGAATTCGCATTCTCCTGCCTGGGTAACTGAGGTAGAGGAGGCTGTGTGCCCCAAATCTGGACGATTAGCAGACAGGTCAGGGCCAGACCCTAAACCCTAATAAGACCGAGAAGTAGGGCGAATGCTGAGGTCTGCCTGCAACCTCCTTCCTTGGCTCTTGAGCCTTCTGAAATTGCTGTCTTCCACTGGCAGGGTTTTGAGTTTCCAGTTGTTTAAATGTATGAAAACAAAGGCTGTGAAACAATAGTTACTCTTCCTCAATGCGATGCACCTTTCGTGTGTGTGCTACAATATGCATAGCATAAAACTTGACCGTTATGACCAGTTTTCAGCACACAGCTCGATGGCCGGCAGTCCGTTTACACTGTAGTGCAGCCTCCAGATCAACGCTCAGAACGCTACAGAACTTTGTCCTGCCCCCAGGCAGCCCCCATGAAACACAAACTCCCTGTTCCTCCTCCCCCAGACCCTCACATATTCTAGCCTGTTCCCCTGAACAAATGCTGCAAAACAAACTTCCTTTGGCATTTTGGAACCGTGCATCTCTCCCCGCACGGCTGGTGGGAGAGGGGAGCAACCCGGATTTGAGAGCTAGGCTCATCCAGAGGGTTACCTCTGCCTGACTCACTTTTTTTTTTGGTACCAGGGATCTAACTCGGGACCTTTTGCTTGCAAGGCAGGTGGCAGAACCACTGAGCTACATCCCCGGCTGACCCATTTTTTAAAAAAATATAAACCACACTTTTATGTATGTGGCCCTAATTGGCTTGTCTGGTCCTTTCTTCCCTAAGAAACTAAGCTATAAGGCTAAAGATCACAACACAACACTGGTGCAACCACCACCTCCAAGTGACAAGTGTTCATATCTTGGCACAATGATTTGACATTTTCACGAAAGAATATTTCACAGAAAGCTGCAGTCCTGCCCCCACCCCCAGGGCATGCTCTCACATGCTCTCACACGCTCTCACGGTAGGCAATGAGAATTTCCCCCTCCTGAACTTGGTGTAATTTTCCAGTGCAGTTTTTGTGTTTACACCTACAGAAAGAGGCATCCATGAATAATTCATAGTGTTGTTTGCAGCATGTTTTAAAACATTTTCATAAATGCTGTTGCACTCAACATTATGTTTCCGAGATGTAACCATGTTGATACGAGTGTGTGTGTGTGTGTGTGTGTGTGTGGACTTCAGTTGTTTCCAATTTGTTTTCCCATTACAAACAAGGCCACAATTATGCCTCCCCGCATACAGGGGAAGCTCTGTGGAGCTGATAAAAACAACTACTTGAGAGTTATAGGTTGAACAGTTCCCAGAGCTCATTCAGGACTGGCAGAATGGAAGGACCTGAGGACAGGACCCTGGACGACCAGGAACCCTCAGAATGGGCACAACTAAGTGGTCAGCTGACTTCGCTCGAGAAAGCCCTCTTAAAATGTGCCCCCAAGAAGACTAAAAATAAACCTTAAAAGCGTCTGAGCTGCAAGCAACATAGCTGCCTGCTAAAATAAATTTCAGCATTCTTTGGAAAGCAATACAATCTAGACACTCAGTAATCTTATCATACATAGGATTGGGCATCCAATTAAAAATTGTTAAGCAGATTAACAACCAGGAAAAAATGAGCCATACACCAAGGAGGAAAATCAAAGGGAAACAGAGCTAGAAATGATAGGAATTAGCAATCACTTCCTAAAATGTGCATTAGAAATATGGCCAAGGATTTAAAGGAAAACCTGAACAGAAAAGGGAAAGATATGGAAACTATAAAAATGAGACGGATGCAACTTACGGAGATAAAAAGTATCTGAAATGAAAAATCCACCGAATGCCTTCACAGCGGGCAGTGCTGAATAAATGATCAGCAGATATGCATACAATTTTTGTTGTTAATTCCACCTTCATAAAGCCAGAGGTGGGCAGGGAGTGGTGGAGGAGAAAGTCTTCAAAGGACCCAGAAACAAAATAAAAGAAAAGGCACATTCGGGGCCATGATGATAAAATGGTTATTGGTGTCTCACTGTAAGCTAAAATACCATGAAAAATAACCTTTCCATAACATGATAAAATGATATTCTTATAGAATTCTCCACTCACTGAAATTATACTTCAAAAATCAAACTGAAATTGAGACTCTTTGAAATATGCAAAGGCTGAGAAAATTCACCAATAGCAACTCTACATTAGAAGAAATGATCAGATCTCTGTCCTGAAAGATGTCATGCAGGATGAAGACTCAGAACCACACGATGGAATGAGCAGTAATAAAACTGGCCAATATGTGAATAAACATGAAAGGCATTGCTGGCTCCCTTTCTTTCTTCCACCCTTCCTTCGGGTGCAGGGACGGGACCCAGGGCTCTGTCCCTACTGTTTTTAGCCGAGGGCTAAATCACTAAGCGACACCTCCAGCCCAATGTTTTCTTGTTTTTAGGCTTCCTTTTAAAATAACTGTTCAAAACACAACTCATACTAGTGTTTTGTGGAGTCAGTAGGAATTTGTAGAAGTATATAAGTAGGACAATTGTACACATAGAAGCCAGGAGAGGGAAATTGAAATATACAGTTTATATTTTTACAGAATACATGAAATACTGAAAGTCTTTGAAGGTAGATGCAATAAATTAAGTGTTCCTATCCTAAATCATTCTTAAAACATAAAGAAGAACTGTTCACAAGCCTATAGAGGGGTACAATGAATGCTAGAATGATAAAATAAATGAATCCAAAATAATGCAGAAAAAAAGAGAGGGAAAAGCAACACAACGTATGACAAGGAAAGAAAGTAACAAGGTTTAAATATTAAATTAAATATGTAAATGGTCTAAATTAATCATTACTTTTCCAAAGATTATCAGACTAGGTTTTTGTTTTTTTCTGGTACCAGGGATCAAACTCAGGACCTTGCGCTTACGAGCAGGCAGCAGTTTCACTGAGCTAAATCCCCAGCCCCAGACTAGGCTTTTACAAGCAAGACAAGATTTCCAATTTCAGCTCTGACGTGTGGCTTATTTGCAAATAATCACTTCCATCCTTACTACAAAAAAAATAATATTAAAGCTGAACAAGGTAAAAGTCGGTGTCCTTGGCCCGTTAGAGAACTGAGGCTGAGGGTCAGCAGGGCCTGGAACAGTCAGGGGAGATGTGCGGACCTGTCGGAAGCCAGCAGGGCAGCGCTCAGGGAGCTCTTCCATGGCAACTGGGACGTCTGCAGGCTGCGTGTGGGCTGACAGCAGAGTGAGGGTTCCTGGTGACTTCATTCTCAGCCACCCCACCAGGGCTCACCATGAAGAGCCAAGAAAAACCCTCTCCTGTCTCAAAAAGAGAGAGGGGGAATTGAACCACTTTGAAATACTCTCGGAGCATCTCCATAATAAAAGCCTACTCAGCAGGGGAAAGACGATCACAGACTTATTTCAGCTCTGAGGAAGGGCAATTACCAACTCCAGTTCCCTGCAGCCTTCCTGTCTCACCTAAGTGGGGGAAATGGGAACCAGACGTATGAAGCAGGAACTCACTTGGGAAGGCCTCAGCCCAGGGACCTAGGACCATTAACAGCTAAAGGTAATTAGAAGGTTCTAGACGTCATCTGCTTCCCAGGCTCTCACCACCTCCACCGGCACCGGGGCTCCAGGGGAAAGAACACAAAGCACAGACTATACCTAAGATGCGGTTCTCAGAGAAACCTAAAGACAACAGGAGGGAGAAAAACAAGGAATTTGAAATCTCTGGAATTTACAACAGCAGCACAAGTTAACCACACTTCAAGTCCCAGCCAGTTAACAAGCAACTTTATGATAAAGGCTGGTTTACCCCAGTTATTACCACATACATCCTGTTGGGCTTCTGACAAAAAAGTTACAAGATGTTCTAAAGGGAGAAAAAACTGCTATTGTTAGGAAACGCACTTTAAGTATAGAGATGCAAATAGATGAAAATAGAGACTGAGAATAGAGATAACATATAAGTGCTAATGACAAAACTGGGGTTTCTACATTAATCAGTGACAAAGTGCATTTCAGGGAGCAGAATATTCCTAGAGGGAAAGGGAACATTTTATCAGGCTTCTTTTAAAAATAACACAATGGCATAAACAACAAAAACACGCATGCTCCTAATAACTGAGCTTTAAAATTTGTGTAGCAGAAACCTGACAGGACTAAAAGAAGAAATAAAAAAACAATTAAAGATTCCCATAACCTCTCTCACTCAGCAATTGAAGAACAAATGCTTAGAAAAATGACCACAAAAGAGGCTAAGAATTACTCTGGATCCTCTTCAGCAACTATGGAGAGAATAGAGTGAGGCATTTAATTGTAGGAAGAAAAACAATCCACCAATCTAGAATTCTGTACTCAGTAGTCATCGAAAAGTACAGAAGAAATAATTTCTGAACCAAAATTTGAAGGAATTCATAACCTAGTAGATGTTGAAGGAAAATTGCTCAGAGAAAAAGAAAATGATAAAGGTCAGAAACTTGAATCTAGATAAGGAAGGGACGTGTATAGGAGAATGAATAAACAACGATAAAATAAGATCTTTAAATATTTTTTCTTGGTGGGTCTAACAAGTAATACTTTGTTCAAAATAATAATAACGACAACAATGTATTCAGTGACCACTTGTGGATCAGTGGGAGGGGGCAGCAATATTACAAACACAGGAGGGAAGACAGGACCCTAAATATCTGCACACCTGTGAGACACTATAGCGGAAGGTGACAATGGATTTGCAGTCCTTGCCAAGGTACTGTGGAGACTGAATAGGCAGAAACCAAGTTGATCTAGAGTTCTCACTGGGCTGGGTCTGAGAGATTCCAGAAGCTGAAATAAGGAACCTAACCCACCGTTTTTATGGCACGTTCACCGACTCCCATCACAGAAAAAGAATTTTCAGGACTCTTCAGAAGGAAGCCAGAGAAGGGTTTAGGGTTTATGAGAGATTTAGGGTGCACCCAAGAATGGTGTGTGGGTGCTCAGAGAAATTAGACACATTCCAGTTTGGAGTTGGGAACATTTGTATTTTTCTCAAAGGGGTGGAAAATCCCAGGGAAAGGTCCCCCCTCTCTCAAAGGGTATCACCCTATGCTACAGGTATTTTTTTAAAAAATAGGTAATTTAAACATTCTTTAGGTTTCCCTCATCCTGCTCATTTATCCTGGGATCAGGCTCCTGCTGCTAACTCTCCCAGTCCAGCCAGTTTACAGACTTTTAGTGTTCCTAAGGAATTCGGGATGGAATGGGTTTGGTAGGGAAAGAGTTTACATTTAACCAAAGGAATGCTGATACACAGGGCCTTGGGTAACTCCACCTGGTTCCTAGAAGCTGCAGTCTTCCTAAAAGTACAGTGTTTTAGTTATGATTTCCCATCTCCTTTCTGCCTGTAGTCCTTCTATCCTACCTCACAGAGGCCACATACAGCAAACGCAGCTACTTGCCCGCCAGGCTTCTGTGAACCAGCTCGTCCATGAGAGTATAGCGTGGCACACAGACGAACCTACACACTACACACGCGAGGCAGTAGTAAGTGTGCCCTATGTGGAACATGTATTTCTTCCCAATGGTCTGTGACCTTTTTTGCAGAGTTGGTGCACACAGGGGTAAAAGTCAACAGAAATGGAGGTGGAGGGAAAAGGTCTGGCCCACCAGACTAGGCTCAATCTGGATTCTAAACCGAGCTGTCTGGAGAGTGAGTCAGGCCACAGTGCCGGGCATGAGATAGAAAATGTGACTCTCAGGTGCCACACAGCTTACACCAGGCCCTAGTGGGTGGCAAGGCTGGGGTTAACTTCCATCTCTGGATGCCACAGGAGGGGGAACAAACCTTCCCAACAAACTGCAGGTCCACTGGGGTGTGTCTTGACTGACTGGTAAGTTCACTTTTTAATTCTGTGGTTTACGTTGATATTTTTGTCTAAGTGACAGGCCTAGAACATTTGTAAACAACTTTGGAATTATTCTCAAAATGCATTCCTAAGGTTAACTTGCTCTTTCTACTGGTACTAAGATAATTTACTATTTGAGGTTACTTGAAAGTCTGCTATTCAGCCATTCCTAATTGAAATGTAAACATCTGTGAGCTCCCTCTGAGACAAAAGAAAAAAATGTATCAGGCATTTGAAAATCCAAGGGGCTACAGGGCTGGTCTGTCTCACTCACATATCAGGCAATAATGCAGTCATTAACATGATTTAGTAAATGTGTAAAAAGCCTAAGGCCATCCTTTGATTTTTGTCAGTGATATCAACCTATATAAAATTTTTAAAGACAACACCTTTCTGATCATCAAAAGAATTGGATGTTAGTCACCAAAGAAATATATCTGTAAACAAAAAGGAGCCCATTGGTCCTGACATAAAGTCAATGATGATTGTTATTTTAAATGCTATATAAAACAAATAACTGAATTATCCCATCAATTATTAAACTACTCAGAAGTCTAGCCATTGGCTGTTCTAAATCCTTGTCATTCACAATTATGCTTCTTTTCTAAAGCATTTGCAATCAAATTCTTGAAAGAGACTCAAAACTGTTGTATAAACTCAATTTGTTTTGTTCTGGTTGGTTTTATTTTATGCTTTCCTTTTGAAACCTTGTAAATGTTGCCTCTTCAAATTCTACAAGATTACAACTCCTAACAAAGAGATCTGATCCACCATTTTGAGGTATTGACCGTCACCTATAAAACTGATAAAACCAAACTTAACAACGGGCTATAAGTAAACTTGGCATAAGAACTACGCTAATACCTCAGTTCACAAGCACTTCTGTTTGAAAACAATTTGGTTCGCAATAAAAAGCATTCAACATAATTTTGCTTCTGGTCAAAATTCTACATCTGGTGACAAACATTACCAAGGCCAATCTCCCCAGAATTCTAAAATAAACTAAGTTCACGAACCGAAGTACCACTGTACTTTTAAAAACCATTTTTGTTCCTCAAATGTGGCTAAAATGGAGCTGTGCAACTGACTCTAAATTGTTGATAATTTCCCCTACACTGTGAGACCAGATAACCAATGACCAGGACAGTGGCGGCCACATGAGGGATGATGAAAACAATGACTGATTAGTGATCAGCTTCAGAAAAACTCACCAGGACAAGAAGGGTCATAAGGAAAGCATAAGACTGGTCAAATCATGATGCAGTCACTACCGAAAGAGAAAGAGAGCCAGGAGGTTGTCAGAAAGGATTCTTATGCATAAGGACCTGATGATAATGTCCCAAAAGACTGCCAAAATCATAAGCTTACCCTGAGGCAACCTAAGCATAATCTAGCAGGCCTAAGCATAAAAAATTTAACTTTTCTCAGGTACGCTTCTATTTAATACACTCGTGAGTTTTGTCTTCACAGGCTTGTAAGCCGCCACCAAAGTGTAAGTGACAATCCAGCAACAGCACCATCCTCCCCATTTGACCCTTCAATCTACACTTCTATAGAGCAGGCTGCCTCAAGTGTGAGCCCCAACCCAGCCCCACGGACCCCGATGGCTCTGCAGTCTCACCTGGGCCCCTTCCTTCTCTCACTGGCCACTGTCAGCAGGAAGCAGATACAAAAGAAAGAGAAACTTGCTCATGTGTTGAAGATCTGACTTGGTTGATCTGCCAGAGAAGAAAATGTAGAGGTCAAACAGGCAGAACATGGATTAATCCAGTGACAGCACAGTTAGAGCCTCCTGAACTATCAGCTGTCCTGAACCAGCATGTACCAAATGACCACAGTATTCTGCACAGGCTAAAGGACATGAAAAAGTAAATAATAAGCATTACTTTGATGGGAAACACTCAGGTTCTTCCCCTGTGTCTGTGGCCCTTTTCTTAGAGTTGATGCACATAGGTGTCCTCATTGGGAGCCTTACGTGCCTTCTCTGAGAATTAAAGTAGTGATGACACCAAACTGACTTCTTTAACATGTAACTATTGTCCTACAGGTGCTCTTGTGACATAGAATGCAAGCTACCCTTTCTGATGCTTGTTTTGACCACCTTGTTCCATTTCCACATCCTCAAACCCTTATAAAAACTCAGCCTCTCACTGTAATGGCATGGTCCTTCTTGGACTTGCCCACTGCTCCCTCATAGTGCATCAATAAATTCTTAACTTTTCTGCATTCCTTGATTATTGATAAATTATTTTACTGCTCATGATACCAGCCATTCACACACCACACCTCCCAAGCAGGTATATTGCAAATTCTAGCCCAGCCCCTTAAAAAATATATAAAGAAAAACACTTATAGTATACCAAGAAATGAGAGAAAATGAATGAGGAAATGCTTAATTAAAACCAGAAAAGAGAGAAAAGAGGATAAGACAAAGAGATTTTTGAAACAAGAGTAAAGAATAGAAAAATATAATAAATACAGTAGATATTAATCCAACTATATCAATCATAAGTTTAAATGCCAATGGTTCAAATATATCAATTAAAAGACAGGCTGACAGAGTAGATTTAAAAGAAAAACAATGCTTGCTTTAAATATAGACTCTGGTAAATCAAAATTCAAGGGTTGCATGTTAACACCAATCAGAGGAAAGCTGCAGTTCTCACTCTAGTTTCAAATAAAGCAGGCTTTAGAGCAGGGAAAATGATCAAAGATAAAGAAGGACATTGGATAATGACACAGGAACTGATTCTCCAAGAAATAACAATCCTTAATATATGTCTCACAACAGAGTGTCAAAATACAAGAGGCAGAATCCAATAGAACTGCAAGGAGAAAGAGATGAGTCCCCTATTCTATTTGGAGATTTCTGTGCCCCTCTCAGAAATGGACACTCACCAGACAGAAAATCAGCAAGGACACAGAAGAACTGAAAAGTACCAGCAGACAACTGGATCTAACTGATGTCTATAGAATACTTTATTCAACAACAGCACAGCACATATTCTTCTCAAACTCACATGGAACATTCATTAAGATAAACTTATTTTTAAGATGTGACATAGCCCAACAAGTTTAAAACAATGGAAATAATAGAGAAGCTCCTTGGCTACAATGAGATTAAACTAGAAATCAGTAAAAGATAGCTGAAAAATCCAAAACTATGTGGAAATTTAAAAATAGACTTCTAACTAATACATGAACCAAAAGAAAAGCCTCCAGAAAAATTAATAGATACTTTGAAGAAAAAAATAAAAACACAACTTATTAAAATTTGTGTGGGCTGGGGATTTAGCTCAGTGGTTCTGCCACCTCCCTTGAAAGCACAAGGTCCTGAGTTTGATCCCCAGTACCAAAAAAAAAAAAAAAATTTGAGATGCAGCAAAAACAGTACTGAGACATTTTAAATATGAAATTCATTTTAGAAAAGAAGAAAGATCTAAAAATAAATAATGTATGTGTTTACTTTAGGAAATTAGAAAAAGGATGAATCAAAAACAAGGTAAGGAGAAGAAAAAAATGAAAACCAGAGCAAAAGCAGCAAAATCAAACATTAAAAATTAGAAAAAAATAAACAAAACCAAAACCTGATTCTTTAAAAAGATCAATAAAATGGATAAACCTCTAGGCTAGTTAAGAAAGAAAGATGGCTAATTACTAACATCAGAATTGAATTTAGAGGACATCTCTACTGACCTCATGGACATGAGAAAGATACTAAAGGAATACCATGAACAACTGTATGTTCTCAATTTGATAACCTAGAGGAAACTAATTTCTTCGAGATAGATATTTCAAAGCTCATGCAGAAGATTTTTGTTGTGTTTTGTTTTGTGCTGTACTGGGGTTGAAGCAGGAAGCACTGAGCTACCTCCTTACCACTGTTCTCCAACTTTTTTTTTTTCAATTGAGACAGGGTCTTCCTAAATTCCCCAGGCTGGCCTTAAGCTTGCAATTTTCCTGCCTCAGCCTATCTGGTGTTACAAGCATGTGCCAAAACACATGGCAAGAAATAACCTTTTTTTTCTGGGCTAGAGATTGAATCCAGGGCCTTCACACTGAATTACATCCTCAAATATTTTTATTTATTTATTTATTTTACATTTTATTTTGAGACAAGCTTAAACCACTAAAATTTCCAGGTTGGGCTCAAACTTATAATCCTTCTGCCTCAGCCTCCCCAGAGTGCTAGGATTACAGGTATGCACCATCATGCTAAGCAGAAGTAGGTAATCTTAACATGTGTGTTAAAGAGATTGAATGAATAAGCTAATAAATAATTATTTCTAAAAACAGAAAGCACCAATTCTGTCAAGATGGGTTCACTAATTAATTCTACCAAACATTTAAGGAAGACATGACAGCAATTCTCTACAGCCCCTCCCAGACAATTGAAGCAAACAGAACATTTCCTAACACATTCTATGAGGGCAGCATTATCCTAAAACCAAAACTAGAAGAGAGATAATGAGAAAAGAAAGCCAACATCTCTTATCAACCTAATGCAAAAATCTTCAACAAAATATTAACAAATCAGATTCAGCAATGTATCAAAACACTTAAACTCCCTAAGCAAGTGGGATTTATCCCAGGTACACAAGACTGGCTCAACATTTAGAATCAATCATTATAATTTATCATATCAACAGGCTAAAGAAGAAAAATTGCATAATCATATCAATAGATTCAGGGAAATTATTTGACAAATCCAACACCTGCTCAAGATTAAAATTCTCAGCAAACTAGGAAAAAGGAAACTTCTTTCACAAGATAAAGATCAGCTACAAAGAAACGAAACAGCCACCATCACATTGGTTAGAAACTTGGAGATTATCCTGCTCAATAAGGAACAAGGCAAGGATGTCCCTGTCATTACTGCTTGAATAATCCCCTCACTGGGACCTGGGACCCACAATTTAAAGGAAGAGAGGTTTATTTTGGTTCATGGGTTCAGTGGATTCAGTCCACACCTGGCTGGCTCCAAGGAAGAAGCAGCATACTTGAACTGCATGGTAGAGGAAATCTGTTCACTTCACGGCAACCAGGGAGCAGAGAAGGAAGGAGTAGACAGGGGAAAGAATAGACCCTTCCAAGTAATGCCTCCACCCAGTGACCAGGCCCCACCTCCAAATATAAGTCTTTTGAGGGATATTTGAGATAAAAAGCCATAACCTTCTGCCTCTGCCTCCCAAAAGGTTCATTCCATCTCATTATGCAAAACACATTTAATCGGTCTCTCAGAGTCACCAAAGTTCTAAGAATTCTAGCACTGCTGAAAAGCCCAAATCCAAAATCTCTGAGGCTCCAGGCAAACTCTTCACTGTAAGAGTCTGTGAAAGCCAAACACACAATGGCACAGGGTACACATTTCCATTCCAAAATGGAGGAGTGGGGGATAGAAAGTAATCAGGCCAAAAGAAGAGCAAAACCTATCAGGGAAAATATAACATCCTGTAAATGAATGCCCAGAAACTAGGGAAACTTGTTATGAGATAGAACTCCAAAGGACTAGCAGCCACACGGATGGCATTGCTGGTTGCAGCTTTCGTAGTCTTTCTCTTGTGCTGGTTTCACTCACTGGCTGTGAATTCCCTCAGCAGATATTCCACATCCCTGGCATCTCCAACTTCCTGGGGTCTCCATCGCACCTTTGGACTCATTCTCACAGTTTTATGCATTACCCTCTCATGAGCTCTTGGCAGAAACTGTGACCCTGTCTTGCATTTTTGCCTGGCCTGCCAGGCCATCTTCTGACATTTTCTGAAATCTAAGTGGATGCCTCTGTGATGTCATAACTCTTGAATTCAGTAAGCCTGAAAAACTAGCACCACTTGGATGATCCCAAGCTCTCCTACCAGCTTGAGCAGTAGCCAGGCCTCCTTGGACCATGGCTGCAGCAGCCCCTGAGTGTGTAGGTGGCTGAATTTGGATTGGATATACTTACCCAGGCAGCCCTGAATGAGTAGGCAGCTCTGAGTGAGTAGGTATCCCAGGGACTCTCCTAGCAAATGAAAGCTTTACAGTTTTGCACCCTTGAGCCTGAGGTAGTTGGGGCCTTCCTGATTTCTGAAATGCTTTTAAGGAATCTTTCTTTTTGTCCCTGTACAAAGTATTTGACTTCTTTTCAATGTTAATCTTTTCAGCAACCATGATTTCCTTTCCCTCAATTTTTCAGGTACTTCTTTTCTGGCAAAACTGCAAAGTTTTAACATTTTCTTTTTTCACTTGCTTCTTACTAGATCTTGCCAAAAGCAGCCAGCAGTACCCATGCCACTACCTCAATGTTGAGCTTTCTTAAAATTTCTTCCACCAAATCAATTAGTCCACTTAATTTCAGTCTCCTGAAAAGCCTACATGAGCAAAATGCAGACAAACTTTTTGCCAGAGTATGTATCACAAATGGCCTCTAGTCCAACTGCCAATGGAGTCTTTGTTCCAAACTGAAACCTCCTGACCCTGGCCTTGATTGTCCGCATTCCTATTGGCCTGCTGGTCTTCTGAGCTTGAACCAGAGTCACCCATCAAGCTCAGCTTGTAGTATTGTAAGACTTCTCTGGCCTGCTTGTCCAAACTTTCCACAAATAATTTCTAAAGACTTCTGAACCACATGGTCAGGTATAATCTCAACAATGACCCCACTCTCAGCATCAATTTTCTGTATTAGTCAGATTTCCCATTGCTGGGACAAAATACTCAATACCTGCAACTTAAAGAAATAGACGTTTATTTTGGCTTACAGTTTCAGTGGGTTCAGTCCATGATCACCTAGCTCCAATGCAAAAATGGCATAGCAGCACAGTAGCAGTGGAAAGCTGTTCACTGCATGACAGCCAGGAAGTAGAGAAAGAAAGGAACAGCCAGGAATGAGAATGTACCCTTCCAAGTCATCTCCCTACTATATGCTGCTTCTGATTAGGCCCCACCTCTGAACGTGAGACTTTTGGGGAACATTTTAAATCTAGACTATAACACTACTTTTCTTTCTTTTATTTATTTAAGTTTTTATTTTAACTGACAAGTGCTAGTTGTATACATTTATACTACTTTTCAACATGTGCTGGAATAAATCAAGGAAAGAAAATAAAAGGTGTGTAGATTAAAAGAATCTAATAAAAACTCTCATCTATATAAAGCATTTCAAAGAACAACAAATAAAGCTTTGAAACTAATAAACAATTATGAAAGTTTTCAAAATACAAGGTTAATATACAAAAGTTACTGCTTTACTATATACCAGTAAATGAAAAATTAGTTTGATATTAAAAATAAAATGATATGCTTTTGTACAAAGCTAACAAATATGTGCAAGATCTAGACAAGAAAAACTAGGATGCTTTAATGAAATAATAAAAGGTTGAAATAAGTGGAAAGGTATTCCATGCTTGTGGATACAAAGAGTCAGTATTATTGTCAGTTCTTCCGAACATAATCTATATTCAGAGTAATCCAAATCAAAATCCAAGCAAGCTATTTTGTGGTTGTTGACAAGCTCATTCTCAAAGTTATGTGGAAAGGCAAGCCTAAAAATGATTAGTATAATATTGAAGGAGACAAAAGCCAGAGAACTTCAAGACTTACTCTAAAGTGATGATAATCAAGACTTTGTTCTGGCAAAAGAATAGACAAATAGATCAAAGGAGCAGATCACAGAGCCCACAAATAGACCCACATAAATATAATCAACAGATCTTTGACATAGAGCAAAGGTGATTCAACGAGGAAAAAGCAGTCCTTTCAACAAATGGTGCTTAAACAATTGGGCATTCACATGCAAATAGATGAATGTGGACAAAGATTCACACCCTTCACTAACTCAGCATGGATCATAAACCTAAATGTAAACCACAAAACTACAAAACTCCTAAAGGACAGCATAGAAGAAAATCTGCAGATTTGGTGATGAATTTTTAGATATAATACCGAAAGCACAATTCCTTGGAAGAAAAAATAGATAATTTAGACTCCATTACAATTTAAAATACTCCTAAGAGATGAAAAGACAAGTCATATACTGGGAAAAATATTTTTAAATCACATGGATAGAAACTCCACAAAACATATGGATAAAACTCCACAATAGGAAAATATAAAACCTAATTAAAAATGGGAAACAGACCTGAACAAGCACTTCACCACAGATACGCAAAGAACATATGGGTAAATAACTGTAGAACATCCATACAATGGAAAGTTATTCCACATTAAAAAGAAATGTATTAAGCCATGAAAATACATGAAGGAACTTCAAATGCACATTACAAATGAAAGAAGTCAATCTTAAAAGGCTACATACTGTATGTTCCCAACTGATTGACATTCTGGGAAAGGCAAAGCTGTGGAGACCACATAAAGATCAGAGGTTTCTAGGTGAAGAAGGAAAGAAGGGAGGGATGAATAGATGACAATGGGAGTGAAACTACTGCCCTAAAAAGTGTGATACTGTCATTACACACTTGTCAAAACTCATAAGATGTATGGCATCAAGAGTGAGCCATAAGTATGCACTTTGGTTAATAATAACATATCAAGATTGCTTCACCAACTGTAACAAGGGTACCATCCTAATGCAAGATGGAAATCACAGGGGAAACTGCCCAGTGGAGCTGTATGGAATGCTGAATGTACTTTTCTATTCAAGTTCAAGCTCAGCTTTTCCTACCATGTGCTCAACAAAGATCACTTCTGCAGAGGACTGTAACACTGATTATTCCCAAAGCAGGCTGAGAAGAGTTAACCCCACAATTGGCTCGTTTATAAAAGTGAGTCTGGCTGAAGCCTACGTGCCGAGGTCAGAGTAGCTTGCACCCAAATTCCATTCCCACAACTAGACCTTCAGACTAGAAGGACAATGTTCTAATTACAATCACATATTTTGTCTATTCTGTTCCTAATTCGAGAATGCTTTGTCTTGTCCTTTATGAACCTTGTTTATATTAATTTCCATAGAAACCACATACCACCTTACCACAACTGATTGCCAATAAAAGTCAGTGCCTGGGTCTGTCCAGTGCCTTTGTTGGTTCCACCGGCATTGATCATCCTAGCCCCCGCTTTCTCTCCTAGTTTTGTCTCTTACTGTATTCTTTTTCTCAGGCCTGTGTCACACACTGGGCAGGTGGTGACTGGAACCTGACTGCAGGGGTCCCCGGCAACTTCTATGATCCCAAACTGTGTGTTGAATTCTCCTGACCAGCAAGCAAGCAATTCTGCAGCAGATCCTCACTGGGGACACTGTCTACCTTCAGGTAGCATCCAGTTCCACAAGTTGAGGGTTCAGTCCCCCCATGACTGCCTCCATCTCAAACCTAGTCACAAGCTGAGCCTCAGGAACAGAGAGCAGCTACCAATTGGGGTTCCCATGACTCCCTACTTGGATTTTATAAATTTGCTAGAGGAGCTCACAGGACTCAAGGAAATTGACTTACATTTACCAGTTTATTAGAAATGATATTTTTAAGGATACAATAGGCCGCTAGGTGAAGAGAGACACAGGCCAAGTCCAGATGGTGTCAAAGGCAGGAGCGTCTGTCCCCATGGGGTTGGAGTGCACCACTCCCCTGGCACATGGATGAGGGAGTTTTGCCTTCCTGTGAGCCTCCATGTGGTTCAGCTGTTAGCACCCCCCAAACTCTGACCTTCTCATGGAGATGTCATTGGGCAGGCACAACTGAAGCACGGGCAGCCATGTATGGATGAGTTTAAAGAAAAAGGGTCGGATCTGCCACTAATGGACCAAGTAGGGACCCAGCAAGGCCATCTGTCCACCTCCCTCTCAGCCTGTCTTTGCAGCATTTCCTCCTCCCGGCACAGGGCAAGACCTTTCTGAAAGGGGGAGCTTACGATCTACTGTCAGACCAGGCAGGTCAGAGAGCTTCTCTGACCAGCTCCAGGACAGGAAGGCAGGGAGGAGGAGAGTACTTTTTTAGTTTCTATGACCTTCCTTAAGGAAGAGAAGTCCTAGTTTTTGTGATCTGCCTTGGGGACAAACAGGTGAAGGTGGAAGGAGGGCAGAAAAAGTCAAAGAGAAAGAGGGAGGAGATGGCTTTCCTTCCTGAGGTTTAAAATTCCTCAGCAGTCTTAGAAAATAACAAGGGCTGTGGGAGCTAAGAGCAGAGATCACCAACAAAAAACTATATACACACACACATTATATATATATTGCATTGATCAACTTTTCTGCAACCTTAAAATGGTTCTAAAAAAGAACATTTTAATTAAGAGGAAGAAAGCCTCAACGGTTACTCTGCAGCCCTCAGGCCCGTGTTCCAGTCCCACTCAGACTTCGACACCAGCCATGGGGACCTGGAGATGGCCCTGCATCAGCAGGACAGCAGCACCTCAACCCTTGCCCAAGGGTCCAGCAGGAGTTGACAGGTACCAGGCCAGGGCTGTCCCCTGCTCCTCCCTGGTCCCTCCCTCCTCTGGGCCCCAAGCTGGTTCTGGGTCCCCGATAATAGGTAGATGCAGCGGCGCTGCTCAGAGCCACTGTCTGCAGCCCCTGGGAGCTGTGAATCACACCCTCATGAGTGTCCTGCTGTTCTCTCCTTCTCCCCCTCCTGCTCACCATGGTGGATGCAGAAGGGAGCCCAGGGCTGCTGGGTGGGCTGGGAAGGGTAGGGAGTCTCACCCACGTACCTGCTGAGTTGTTGGGGGCCTGGGGGAACCTTGGCCATGTCGTTGTGCATGTTGGGTGTGCAGCTGTGCTGTCTGTGCACTCTCCTGCCTCCCTGTGTGCATCTGCGTGTGCACCTTCAATGCACCAGTGGGTGAGTCTCCTTCTCTGCACCCAAATGTCCCTGTGTCTATCTGGAGTGCCTCCCTGAGGCTAGGCCCTATTTTATCTCCATTAACATAAGACACAAGAAGACAAATAATCTAATTTTTACTATAGATAAAAATTTTAACACACTTTTGAGCAAAGATCAACTTGCGCTAATAAGCATGTGAAATGCAAGTGGACAACCCCAAGGGGACCCTGCCACGTCCCATCGGAGCTGCTAGGGGCCTGGAGTGCTGCCACCTCTGTATGGAACTGCCAGTTTTGAAGAGGGTGATGAGTTCTTAAAATCTGTCTTAGTCACTTTCCTCATTGTTGGGACAAAATCTCCAATGCTCACAACTTAAAGAAGGAGAGGTTTATTTTGGCTCAGGTTTTAGTCCACGAACGGTCAGCTGGCTCCAGACAGAAGCGGCACAGAGGAAGGGTCTGGTGGAGGACGGCTGCTCACCTCATGGCGGTCAGGAAGCAGAGAGAGCAGGGAGGAGCCAGGAAAGGAGACAGCCTGGCAGGTCACCCCGCAGAGGGTCCCTCTTCCAGTCGCACCCCACCTCCTAACAGCAAATCAGCTATAATCTTAGCGCCTTCCAAACACATGAGACATTGGGGTCATTTGAGATCAAAAGCATAACAATAAACAAGTATTTATTCTATGATGCAGAAATTCTGCTTATAGCTACTTACCCATGAGGAATACCAGCACACATTCACAAAGTAATTTACACACAGATGTTCAAAGCACATTCATCCAATGGCTGGGAAGAGAGCAATGGCCACTAGCCGCTGTGTAGAGGAACAGACAGAAGCCCTTGTGTGGCCGGAATAGCACTCAGCAGTCAGGAGGAACAGATAGGTACAGGAACGAGGGTAAGTACCACCAAAGAACCCGCCAAGGGCAATAAACCAGCACAAGGGAGTATGTAACACTTGCTTCCATCTTTGCACCCAAAGCAGCCTGTGGCGATGGGTGCAGGGGAGATTGACAGATGGGCACAGGAGAGAACTTCTGGGGACAAGTATTTTACTTTGATTTTGGTGATGGTTGACAGATCGTGTCTGTCAAGCTTCAGGAAATTGTCTTGAGTTCACTTCAAAGTTTTTAAGTGTGTGCCATGATAAGCGGCTGGTTTGAGAAGGAACAGAGAGCGTCTCCGGTGTGAGCAGATAAATCTGTTTCCTACTGCCGGTCATGGGAGCTAAGCATTGCAGAAGGCCCAGGTCAGTGCAGCAGCACCTAAGCCAGGCTCTGTTCCACTGAAAGGAGGGGAGGTTGGAAGCTCTCCCGGGTGCCCATGGGGTTAACATGGTGGCCAGGGGAGGGTTCCCCCAGCCTCCTGTGTGCACTCAAGGGTCAGGATAGGCTCCCTTAATGAGGACCTGGACAAATGAAAGATTGTGCCAATAATTTAAAAACTTCATCAGAGGACTGGAACATTCCATGGTCAAGAAATGGAAATGAAATTACATCAGAGAGCCACACACCCTCAGGACCTCATCAAATCCTAATCACTGCCCTGAGGCCCCATCTCCAAATACCACGGCCATGTGAATTTGGGAATTACAATTTTAAACAGAGGGCTAGGCTTGTTTAGAAAATAAAAGAGAATGCATTTAAAAAAATAATTATGCTTGTGACTATCCTTTCTCTGTGGGCTGTACCACAATAAATCCAAATTTTGGAAGCAAGCAAAAGAGGGAAATGCAATACAACAGTTCTATATTCATCGCACAGACAATAAGCGCGTGTGTGCAAAGCTGGCAATTTGGGCTTGCCTCTGCTCTGACTGTGTGCTCTTTGCCACCTCTCACCGCTGTGAACCGGCTTCCCACGAGCGCCGAATATCCGAGTCGTAACCTCACCCGGTCATCGCTGAATGTGTAGCCTGCAGCAAGGAAATTAATGCTGGCTCATAATAACTCTAGACTTCTGGGTCTCCAAGAGCCAAGGCAATTTTTTAAGGGCAAAGATGGAATTAGCAAGTTCCATTACAGGCTCATAGCAGATTTTATTTACGAAGGTTAATGGGAGGTATAAGAATCAAGCGTGTCTGCTGCGAGAATTCTTCTTGGTTTTCCTCCAGTGGAGAATGTCTTCATTTCCTCCTTATTCCTGGAGGGTATTTGCGGTGCGCACAGCATTCTGTGCTGGCAGCTCTTTTCTTCCAGCAGTTAACAAATGCTCTTCTGCCACTGATTCTGATAGCTTCTCCGGTAGCAATCTGCAGTCATTAGAGGCCTTGTCCCCACACAGAGGCAAGAAAGAGCAACATCTGCCGTGGTCTGAAATGTCCCCTGAAGCTCAGACGTTGGAAACGTAATTCCCAAATTCACATGGCCGTGGTATTTGGAGATGGGGCCCCAGGGCAATGATTAGGATTTGATGAGGTCCTGAGGGTGTGTGGCTCTCCGATGGCTCCAGTGTTTGTGAGGAGAGGAAGAGAGACCCAGCGCGCAGCGTTAGGGTTCAACAAGGAGGCTCTCGAGCAGCACCAGCACCCCAATACCAGACTCCCCCAACTCTAGAACTTCATCAGACTGAAGAAATTTCTGCTCTTTACAAATCACCGCACACTTCTTTAGAGTAACAGAAAGCAGACCTGGACAACAACAGGGAGGAAAGAGCAAAGAGGATTCCCTCTGCTCTCCGCAGCTGCAGCACCCCTGCCCTGGGACCTGCTCTGCTCTCCCTTCGTCTGTGGTTCCAGGCTGTCAGCCGCCTTTGACTCCACGCTGGGTGACCCTGGAGGGCCAGGAGGAAAGGCGGCCTGGCCTCGGGTTAGAAGTCTTCTCAGAGCCAGCTGCTACCATTTCCCCTATGGGGTCCTCAGAGAGCCCCTCCCTGTGTCCAGCTCAGGGTCTTGATCTTGTTGTGTGGGGGTCACATCGGAGTCCCTGTGTTCCCTGACACATTTCGAGCTCCATGAGGGCAGAGGCAGATGGAGTCCAGCTTGTCAATCAGCAGCATCCCCTGGAAATCTTTGCTCTGCATTTTTCCATTGCAGCTTCTCCTCAAACACTTGCTGAAGAGACCAGTCAATAGCAAAGAGTCAGTAGATGCTGTGTGGAAAGTAACCTGCACAATGGCCACCATCAAGATGCTCGATGTCAGCAAGTGCTAGTGTCTGCTGTCCCCCACCAGAGCTCCCAGCCTGCTGTCTCGCTTGTCTTTTCCAATGAGCTAACACAGAAGCGACTGAAACCGAACAAGAAGTTCCGACGAGTCACTCAAAGGTAAGCAAATGACACGGCTCTCCGAAAATGTTATCCACAAGCCCTAAGAAATCTGAGTTTATCACACCAAATGTTGTGCAGGAAAATACAAGAACTGTTTTTGCATACACACACACACAAATACAAACATTCTCTAAACAGTTCCTCCATCTCTCCTAGTGCGTTATTCACAGGAGGGAGGTTCCAGGAACCCTCAGTCCTTAGGAATTTGGATAGATGTGGGTCCACTTGCCTCTTGGACAGCAGTGTCCCAAAGCCCTGGGGAGAGCTGTTCACCTCTCACAGGCGAGATGCGCCGAGGCCGGGCAGGCGGTCACCTCTCCTTGCTGGAAGCCAGGCCAGACCTGTCACAGGAGCGTCTGAGACCACCAAGGCATCTCGAGTCTCTCCTGCAACCTTTCTCTTCTAATGGTTATTGTGGGGACTTAAACACTTTCCCTAAACTTGAGCCATTATTTCATTTCTAGAAGAAATGTGGTCTTCGGATATATTCCTATATTTCACTAGTGTTTTAGTTGGAATTTTTTACAGCACTTTCAAAAGTGGGGTGACATTTATTTTTTGTACTGGCCCATGTACAAGCCACCATGGACTAAAATACTGAAAACTGTGAGCCAAAATCAACCTATGCCTGGGTTTGCCTTGGGATTGTAAACCGTCCTTTCCATTTTGTGGAACAGTTTAGAGAAGCGTACCATGGTGTCATTTCCTCTTTAAAGCTTCGGAGGCTGTGGGAAAAGCAGCCTGGGCGTGTCCTCTCAACCACCTCTCCACGGTCCTATGCGCGATCTTTCTCTTTCAATTTTTCCTTTTTGGGGATCCTTTCTAGTTAAGTCATTCCTGGTTAGTTCTGAATCGTTTCTAATTTTCTTTGTGACCCAACTTATCTAGAGAACTACTTTAACTTACAAGTGATTGGACCCTCACTAGGGCAAGATATTATTGGCCAAGCTGGCTGCAAGTCCCTCCTCCGTGCCTACCTCAGCAGGTGGCCAGCTCTAAGGCCGCGTCGTGATCTTCTCCAGTGACTTGAGCGAGCTCCTTTCCTCACTTCCCCAGCTTCCCTTGTGACCAGAGCAGCCTTGTGACATTCCTGCAACTGTGAAAATCCTACACTCAAAGACACAACACACCTCACCCCACAAGACGAAGACACTGCCAGCTGCACCCGGGGTCAGCCCCAGAGCTACAAGTTACCAGTTGTTTAACTCTGGACTAATCACTGACTTGCTCTATGCCTCAGTTTCCCCATCTGTACATGAGGAATAACAGTACCACCTCATAGGTGGCTCTGGATATTGAATAAGTGAGGATGTGTGAGAGGCTCAGAGAAAGTTAGCAGAAGTCCTACAGAGTATCCCAATAATAATAATAATAATAATAATAATAATAATAATAATTAGTGCTGCTGGAGTTCAGATCTCAAAAGGCCTAGTCACCTGCCTGTGGGAGCTATTTGGAGGTGGGGAGCCTTCGGGAGGTGGGGCCTGGTGGAAAGAAGTTGGGCCATGGAGACCCTGACCCCTTCCTGTATCTCTCTTTGCTTCCTGACCAGGCAGCCTCACCATGCACCCCCATGATGTACCGTGTCACCACAAGTCCCAAGCAACAGGGCCAAGCCACCATGGACTGACACACTTGAAACTGTGAGCCAAAATCAACCCAAGCCCTTTCTAAGTTGATTTATTACCCCAGATGCCTGTCTATACAGCAGTGGGAAGCTGACTGACAGTGGATACTGTTGTAATCATCTTTGTCATTTGGGGACCAGGAGGATGAATAGCCAACATAATGAGAACACAAGGCAGAAGGAATGAAGGCTCTGGGTCCTTAGTGAGATGGAGAGCTGTGCCTGGAAAACCTGCTTCTAGATACTAAGAGACCAGTCGGTCTCCTTACGAAGGCCAGCTGCTAATTTGTGAGGAATGCCCTCGGACATGCCTCATTATAGCTTTCATTAATACAAGAACTGGTGCGACATGCTCTTTAGGCTTTGGGGAGAGAGTCTCGAGTAACAACAGCAATAGCAAACACTTCTCGGAGCTGACTTATTCTAATGCCTAATCCTGCCCTGGTGAAGTCAGAAAAATTAGCCTAGTGAATTCTGATTTGAGAACTCTGTGGGGATTTTGTTCCTAACGCCAATTTCTGCAACTATTCCATGGGTACCAAAAAAGGACTCCCACACACTCAGAGCATACAAGGAGTGAAGTTTAGGTCAAGGCTCAGTGTCTGTGTGTCTGTGTCCAATCGTTCCCACGCGGTTGAACACACAGCTCTGTCCCTGTTGAATCGCCCTTGTGCCTTTCTCAAAAACCGCATGATCATATTTTTGGAGAAGAGGAAAAGAAAGGCAAACACAACAACAATGTTTAAGTTGGCAACGATGCGGCTCCGTGGGCTGCCCCATTCCCTGCAGGGGCCGCAAACTGGCGCTGTCCCTGGCTGGACTTGGGTGGAAGGAGCACCAGCCTTGGCCTCCCACTCCCTTGGGGGGCCCTGCAGCACGGATGTCACAGAAGGTTCCCGAGAGCGACGTGTGGAGAGCCCTAAACTGGAAACCACCAAGCTGCTCACCCTCAGGAGTGCAGATCAGATTCACGCGGTGCATCGCGATGGCACAGGAACATACAACCTAAGCTACATGTGGGAGTGTGGCTAAATCTCCTGTCTTCTAATCTTCCTCTATGTCTCTAAGTCTCCTTCCTCTAAATCTTCTGTCTCCACGACAGAAAGCCTGGGGCACTGGGATTGAACCCAAGGCATGTGTTGCATGATTCCCGTTGCAGGAAATCGACACATGGGCAAAACTATTCTGCTCTGTTGGAAGTCGAGCTCCTGCTGTGCCTCGGTGGGAAGCAGGGGCAGGGACAGGGCGGGGTCCTGGGAAGTTGTGGGATGCTCAGCCTTTTGAGCTGCTACTGGCTTCAAGGGTGTGTTAACCCTATGAAAATGTAACAGTAAAGCTGGGCGTGGTGGCCCATTTCTATCATCCTAGGTGACTGAGGCAGGAAGACTGCAATCTGTGCTCAGCCTGGGCAACATGGCAGCAGAGCAAGACCCTGTGTCACATTAAAAAAATAAAAAAGGGCTGGAGCTATGGCTAAGTGCAAAGGCCCTGGGTTCGATTCCCAGTACCGCAAAACAAACAAATCAATGGTACACGCCCTATGCACTTTCTACATGTGTACGTTCTATTTCCAATAAAAATTTTAAAAGAGTGAAATTGTGAAAGGCAGTACTCTTCTGGAAAAAATAAAGCCCTGCATGGTAAGAATAAAATCACCCCTATTTTTGTTAATGCTCCTCCATGGTAAGAATCAAATTGCCCGCACTCAGACCTGTTAGGCAGAGACCAGAGGTGAGCATTGTGTGTGCCCTCGGTTTCGGGCTTTAGGGGATGCAGAAGATGCTGAGCAGCGAGGCCCAAGGATAGGGCGTGAGCTTAAAATCTCACAAAAACAAACACAAAGGAGCCCACCCCATGCCACCCTCTGGTGGTCTCAGCTCCACCACAGTCATCCTGCCCCAAACCCCACTCACTTCCAGCCTCACCACACTCACCAGGTCTGTGAGGGCCACATGGAGGGACGTGGCTCTTCCAAAGCCTGTCATTTTGGTCGGTGCACTAATGTGCGAGTCACTAAGGCGGGCTGGGCTGCGGACACCGGAGTGGTTGTTAGGGAAGCAGCAAGGAGCGCCTAATGCAGATGCCTGTCTGTGGTCCTGACATTTCCTGCAATTTCCAGAGTGGCACAGAGCCTCTGCGAACTCCTACTGGGAGCGGGAAAATCTTTCTTCCTTATGAGAGTGGAAAATTGCTCCATTCTCTCCAGAAAAGGCCACAGGGATTAACACTCTCAGAGGCACTGAAATAGCCTGCAGCTAGAAGCTTTTGCTGCTCCGTTCTTAGTATCAGTGTTTAAACTGTCTCTCTCCCTGTCTCTGTCTCTCTTCCTTCCCTTCCCTGGGTTGTACGGCCTGAGTGGGGTGCGGGAAGCTGGCCTGCATCCTGCAGCATCCTCAGCAGAGTGAGGAGGAACCGAGGAGGCCTCGTGCCCTCCCAGACCCAACAGCTAGGGCAGCAGGTGCACCTCGTCCATCCATCGCAGAACTAGGTGAGATGGGGGGCAGAATGGGCTGCAGTCATCAAGCACTGGTAAACTGTCAACAATCACACCCTAAAAATCTCTCTTAAGGTCAGGTCCTGTAGCTGTCACTGTGGAATCACAGTGTTAAATACCAGCCCTCAGCTTTTTAATAACCATGCCCATTTTTGCTCCAAGGAGAATATCTAATGTCACTCCTAGAAATGCACCCCAGAAACAACAAGGAAGCATTCGTCACACGAAGCACAACTGTGCAGCACTTCAACACTTCCCACACCTTGCCCGGTCTGGGGTGCAGAGATGCCCAGGGCTCAAAGAGCCTCCCGGGCTGAAACCCCCAGAGCGAGCATGTACAGTACCGGTAGCATCCCGACTTCCCAGCTGAGGGTGAGGGCGTCACCCTCACCACGGTGCTAAGGTCTGTGCAGATGAACACAGGCACACACACATTCACGTGCATGCACACACATGTGCATGCACACTTGTGAGCACACACATGTGTATGCAGATACAGACATACACACTTGCATATGCATGCACACACAAACACATGTATACTGGCACACATTATACACACATGCACACGTGTTGCAGATGCAGATACACATGTACACACATGTATACCAACACACTTATAAACACAGACATGTACACACATGCATTTACACACACACATACACCGTGCTAGCCAGGAGGGGGTATTTAGTTCCAGGGAACCAATCTGGCCCTAAGAGGCAGAAATTGGGTCTGAGTCTACGGGCCACATGACCTGGCCTCCTAAGCCCAGTCTCCTCTTCCAAGGGTGCCACTGTAGCTTCCCAAACTCCTTGCCAAGGCTGAAAGGGACCTCAGATGTGATTTTACGGGAGCAAGGGAGCAGGAACAAGGGGGAGCCAGCACCCAGACCAAGATGTCATGGAGACAGGCAGAGGGGCGTCAGGGAGTGTAGCAGAGGTGCTGCCCCTGGGGCTTTCTGCTGACCCCACCGGGGTCTGAGCCAGAGCCGTCACTTCCTTTGAGCAGCAGAGAGGCCTGAGCCTGAGAGGATTTGCCTGAGCTTCCATAGTTGGCATCTGATTCTGAAGTCAGACTCTGCTCTTGACCCACCTGGGCCAGCCATGCCCTGGAAATCAGCCCTGGGCCTCACCACAGCTTCACCAGGGACCAGAGGGCTCCGGAGCTGCCAGGATTGCCAGGGCTGCCCAGAGAGTGGCACTGTGATGCCACTTGCAGCCTGAGGTGCCCACACTCCGGAAAGAGCTACACCGACTGGCACCACCCTCAGTCCCCAACCCAGGATCCTGAGGCCAAGGGCACCCTAGCTGCCTCAGCTCCAGAGAGAGATGGCTTTCCTGCAGAAAGAAGAAAAGCCCACTACCCCAAAGTGAGATTGGCCCCCATGTCTCTTGTACCGCCAGGCGAGCAGGGCAGAAAGCCCAGCCTGCTGTCTATGTGGGTGGCCAGGGCTGCCGTGCAAAGCCCTGCAGAGGGTACCTGGAGACAGGCCTGCCCCTCAAAGTTCTGGGGCCAGGAGGCTTCGGTCGAGGAGGGGCAGGGGGTGTCTGAAGCCGGGGGCCTGTCCAGGCCTCTCCCCTGGCCTCGTGAGGCCTCCAGCCTCCAGCCTTCTTGGCTGAGGGTGGATGGTGCTCAACCCAGGAGCAAGGCTGTGCCCCAGTTTCCCCTATTGACACAGTCATATTGCCCTGGACCCTGATTCCAGGGCAACTTCACCCTAACTAATCCCACTGGCAAGAACATGACTGCCGGCTAGAGTCGAATTCGGCAGTCCTGGGGTTCCGACTTCAACATATAAACCCACCGGAGTGGATGAAAGTCCAGCCTGAACCCTGCCTTGGATGTAGATAGATCATGTTCGCTTGCATCGCGCTTCCTTCAGTACACAGGGGTGACACCTGTCCTCGGGATTGGCACACTTCACCAAGGGGACACAGAGGCACCTCTTGTACGCATCACACGTGTGAGGTCCAACATGGGCTCAGAAAGGAGCAGCCGGCCTTCACCTCTTCTAGTCTCTCCTGTGCTGGGAGATGGTTCTCCCGCCCCTCTAACAGCATCGGCAACCTTCAGAAAGCCACAGCTTCCAAGTGGGGCTGGCCTCCACACGCCCTAAGTAAAGGAGACATTTTCGAGGACACTTGTGTTTGACTGTGCAGGCTGGAGATTTATTTACTTGAGTTATTTTTATATCCTGTCTTGACCCAGAAAGGACACGAGGCGTAGATGGGGAATTAAATCTATTTCAGTTTGATGGGCTCGTATCTCACAATTAGGAGGAGGAAGTCTGGAATGACTGGAGAACACAGATCACCCCAAACTCCCGTTCAAAGCAGAAGCTGGCCTCTGACTGCTGATGTAGCTCTTCTCAAAGGCATTTGCTTTGGAACCATCAAGCCCAGGGTTTTGAGGCATTTGCATGTGACGATATCGATGACGATGACGGTGGTGTTGGTGACCATGGCTGACATATGAACCAGGCACGCTGCAGGAGAGAAAGGAAGAGGAAGCAGTGGGGAGAGGCAGGACAGAAGACAGCTGGAAAGGGTTTGACAGGGAAGAAAGTGGAGAGAGACACCCTGTGATGCCAAAGGAGGTGTCACCCTTGGACTTCAGCAATGTCCCAGGAGAACTGTCACCGGCCTTGGAGGCAGAGGAAGGGACGAAGAAAGAACTAAGATGCACTGTGCACGTGTGCCAACTCCCCATGGTGAATGTGATCATCATGCACTGCCAACATGGACCAGTATAAATAAAAATTTACAGACAAAAACTGCGATGCGTTTCAGAGTGGGCTGGTAGTCCGAGAGTGAACATCTCAGCGCTTTGCCCCCAGAGAACCAAGTCTGAGCCCAGCTCATGCCACGGGCTCTCGTGACCTATAAATTTGGCCTCTGGCAATTCATTCACAGAGCTAAACACAGTGTTACCCACAGGGGAGAAGCTGGCAGACCACGTTCGGCTCCACTCCCAGGGGCGGGGTGTCCTGGCCAGCCGAGGAAAGTGGGCAGAGCCTGGCCAAATGCCCCTTGCTCCCCCACATGCTGCCCAGGGCCACCAGCACTACATCTGGAACTAGTCACACTGAAGCCCCGAGGACAGAGAGAAAGGGAAGGAGCAGGAAGCTGAGTTTACATCTTGTGATGAATGCACAACAGGACAACGGGACAGCAGCACGGGGTGAGGCCCGGCCCTGGCGAGATGCCCGTCTCCCCTCAGGCACCTGACCACAGCCACAGAATGATCTGTGGACGCAGCCCCACAGGGAGCCACTGAGCCTTTCCTGCCATGTCCTTCCTGCACCGCCAGGCCCAGCAGCCCCCATGGCCCCAGATGTCTCACACCGTGAGCTGGCTGCTGGCAGTGCTAGCCAGGACCCCCACCAGCAGCTCCAGGCCAGCACTGTGCAGGGCCCGTCCCTCGCCAAGCTGTAGAAGGAAAGAGGGTTTGGTCTTGGCCCACCAACTCTCAGAACACCCTCCGCCATGGAGGGCAGCTCCGAAATCCCAAGGGCCCCGTGTCCTCCTGCTCAGGGCAACGAGGCCCTCCCACAGGCACTGAACGTGGAGAGAGCGACAGGTGAAGACCAAGAGCAGTGGCACCATATCCCAACTGCAAGGTCTCATGCCATCTAATTCCCACTCGAAGTTTGAGTCCTGCTCTCCAGCTGGAGAAACTGAGGCATGGTGAATCCATGTGACTTGTCACCTTAGACGTGGAGGTGAAGTTAAAGCCAGGTCGGGAACCTGCCGAGTCCTTTCTCTTCCCTTTGACCTTTTCAGAAAAGGACAAGCAAGAGAGGAAGCAGTTCTGGAAAGGTCTGGGGCAAGAGAGCAGCTTCTGTCCCTTGCTCTTCAATGTCCATTGCTGTGAAGCCACCAGTAGCTGGGGCACTGAAGGATGGGGAAGCTCACCAAGGCCACAAGTAAGCCCGGGTGAGCGGAGTGTGCCCATCACCGTGATGTCTTGTAATTAAGATTCCTGGGGACCACCGGGGTGTTCCATGGAAGATCTGTCTTCAAGCAGTTCAGGTCAGCGTTAGGCACAAGCCTGGGACTAATTGATGGCTCTGGTTGTCTCCAAAAGAAAAGATATAATTGGGCCACACAAAGCAGGTTCTGTCTGTCCAATTACAGGAAACAGCACGGATGGGCTGAACTGTGGCCTATAAAACAAAATCAGGATTTTTCAAACATCCCCAGGAGATGGGGGCTCCACTGCCCTGCACTCCCAGCTCCCCTGGGTGGAGACAAACAGAACTGTAGCCCTGGGAAGGGGTGCAGCAGGCTTTGCAGAGCCATTGTGCAGCCTCCTGGCTGGAGCTTTTGAGGGAGGTGGGGGTGTGGGGGTGACACTCGTGTTTCACCCCGGATTTCCAGATGCATGTGACAAAAGAGCATTTCTTTGCTGTTGGGCTCTCAAGTGCCAGGAAGTTTGTTCTTTGTAAACAAACCAGATTCCGCAAAGGCATGAGACATGATAATTATGTTTGGCTAGAATATTAAAGAGGGTTATATGGAGGGGTGCTTGATGTCACGGTGGAAAAGATCCCTGTCCTCACTCCGTATAGACCTCTCCTTGAGCACGGGGCTGGCTGTCCCAGTGCTGGGGTTGGTGTGCAGAGCGTGCAGCAACTCTGAGCTCCCCCACATGCTTCCATCTCCAGATTTGGGGACCTGCACCTCATGTTGCAGACCACAGCTCAGCTTTTTCAGCTGGCAGGGACTTCCAGCAGCAGGGAGGGTAAGGACGCCCCATGGCCTTCATGAAGTTCCCTGAAAACCAGGCCTCTGCAGAGAGGACCTGCAGAGAGCAGCTCGCCCCCCTTCCCTTCTCTTTAAAATCAACACCCATCCCCAGATTTGCTCTTGGCAAACATTGCTTAACTAACTGCTGCTGTTTTCCCTGAAGTCGCTGAAGAGAGAGTCAGATAGTGAGCTGGCACACTCTTCCGAAATGTTTACTGTGTTCCTTAAAGCAAGGGACATGCTGGTTCCTAAACTAATTTGGGGTTGCTAGATCTTTCCTATTCTTTTTTGGAAATCTCCGAAGTAAACACATGGACTTCGATATACTTAAGCTATATTAGAGAGTCAAGTAAACACTCCCTGGACTTTCTAAAGGGTGAACTGTCACAGATCTGTCCATGCAAAAGAGGCAAGGGCAGAGTGTGAGTGTTAATATCACAGTCAGAGCAGAGCCTGAAGAGTTGGGGTAAAAGACCAGCTGGTCTTGCCTTCAGTTCCAGAATAACGGGTACCTCAGGGTCCACCCCTCCCAGGATGGACCTAGGTGTCCACCAAAATCACCCACGTGCAAACAGGTCTTAGCAATGGAGAAGACCATTTGAAAAACTTCTGACCCTTGAGGGGATCAAGATGTGATCTATACAGGAACCAATTCCCCACAATGAAGATAATCATCATATATCGCAAACACAGACCAACAATAAAAAAGGAAACCTTCTGAACCTCAACCTGGCACACTACACTCCCTTGTTTTTTTTTAAAAAAAAAACCTTAATAATAAAGCTCAGGGTATCCAGTTATGTGTCACTTCTGTGAGATCTGTAATACTGGCATCCACCTAAGCCCTGAATCCCTGGTTCCAAAAGGAAGCTCTGGGGTTCAGATGACATTTATATAAATTTCATGTGGTGTTTCGGTGCATGTTTTTCTGAAGGAGATCAAGGCATTTATAGACTTTCCGAGGAGGGCTTGTGATATTCTGGTGAGGTAGCAAATTCTATTAGCTCCATTTTACCACTGGGAATAGAAAATGTTAGAGCCCCCAAATGGTTTGGCAAAACCCATATGGCCTGTCACTGAGAGCACTATGAGAACAAAATAGGCTGTTAGTGCTGCTCTTCTCCTCGATCCTTGGCCCAGTTTGCTTAGAGGAGTTTTAAATATTTTTAGCTAAGGTCAAGGTGATTCTCAGGGTCTATGTACGACTCTGCATTCTCAGCCTGCTGGGACAGCATCCACCTGTGAGCAGAGGGACTTTGAGCCCTCGCTCCATGCCACACCAACCTTCTGGTAGAGCTGAGCCCCCGGGCCCATGATGGGGGACCCCAAGAGTCACCCCCAAGTCCCTTCCTCTGCAGAGAGCTGCAGCTCACCCACCACGAGCTCTAATGACTTCCTCCACTCCCTCCATCCAAATAAGTGGAGAAGGAAGAACAAGAAGAAAGACGTGGGCTTGTTGTCTGGGGCAGATGGTGGATCGGGAACAGATGCCAGGGACGGAGAAGGGGCTCCTCAGCTCCTCCTGGTGCTGTCATCTCCCTGAGGAGGACCCAGGGCTGCAGAGCAGGACAGAGCTGCGGCCGGGGGACAGGAGCCCGGCTGGGGCAGCCGCTGGCAGCAGGAGGGTCCTGTGCTCCGAGGCCACATGATCGCATTCCAAGGCAATTGAGATTTTGCCATTGAAATCGCTCAACTCAGCCAGAAATAACATTTGAGGAGTTACAAGGATTCAGTGGCCAGGAGAAGGTGCCAAACTATTGCCACCGCCAAGAGACAGCATTAGTCACGGCCCGGAGTGCCCCCCCGCCAGCAGCAGGCTCCGTGCAGGGCCCTTCTGGCCCATGTCAGCCGCACGGCTGCCCTTGGTTTCGCCCCCACATCCCTCCCTCTGCCTTCATGCTGGGCCATGTGCCAGGAACACACTTCCCTCCTGGTACGCGTGTGCGAGACTCTCCCCATCCAGGTCAAGTCTGCTCCCTCAGCTCTCTCAGCCTCCCCTGCAGGCTACTGACCCTGCTGAGAGGAGTCAGGGCACGTGAGCCCAGGGAGGTGGCAGGTAGACTTGTCTCCTGGGCTTGAGGCCTGACGAACTTTCCAGCCCCAATAAGCACTTAACAGGCTAATAGAAGAGGGTGATGTTGGAGGTCTGAAGGCCCTGCCCATGAAAACACTCATGATCAGGTCAGGCGGTTTCACCTCCACCCTCTGTCTTCCTGGGCTGAGCCCCCTCTTTGTAGTTCCTAGGCCACCTGACTCCATACCGCTGTCACCGAAGCCCAGCCTGTGTCCCACTCCGGCCGACCTAGCAGAGAGGAGGGCAGAGCGACGTCCAGGGCTGGGCTCTTGTTTTCTGAATGGGAAGGACCTCCTCCCGCTTGACCTTGCTTTTAGAAATCTGGCAAAGTCTCTATAGAGGGCTCAGGCTTTTTCTGCTGGGAAATAATGAAATAAGTTATATTTCTCAATGTTTTCTTTCTTTCTCATGACAATTTTTTTTTCCATGAAATTTTGTAGGCTTTGCATGTTTGGAAGGAATCAATTAGGTCCATTATGTTTTAGCCATGCTTTGAAATACACAGGAGATTCAAAATCTGAGCTCCCTATGATTGCATTGTATTAAATTAGGACTCTTATTCAATTACAAAGAAAGCCCCATCAGCATTGATCATTGTTTATAACCCTTGGGGGTTTTTTCCCCTCTCAAACAAGATTCCGTGTTTCCCAGTGGGACTGTCATAAAATAGCACTGGAAACAAAGGTACTGGGGTCCCCCAGCCCCCCACTGCACTCAGCACCTGTCCCACGTTCAGCTTCCGAAGCAGAGAAACCCTTCCGGGCATGGGCCGTGGCTGCTCCGAGGGGACGCCAGTCTTCATAGGTGGGGAGGCTTCCACAGTCAGGTTTGCTCTCAATCGGGCCCTTACAAACTCAGGGGCTGGGGGAGAGAAAGACAAGGAAGGTCACCACTGTCACGAAGCACGTGCAGGTAGCAGAGGAGGTGACCCGGGTCCGGTCCGGGGCTGAGAAGCGGACTGTGGCCCAGAGACATCTGCGTGAGTGCCAGAGGTGGCCTAAGGTGTCAGAAACCCTAAGCATTTAAAGTGTTCCAAGACATGGAAATCAATGGGGCAAGTTGGGGTGGGCGGACAGGAAACAAATTTTGCCATTGATACAATCCTATCTTTTCCAATTCCCTTTATTGGATGAGAATACTGTTTTTTAAAATCCCTAAACCTAAAAGCGCTCTGTGCTACGCATTGCTGAATGCATCCAAAATTATCAGCTTATGAAACTTCAGGGTTTACTTCCTTTTGATAATAACCACACACTTATAGCTCACATTTACTTCAAATGTTTTTCATTTTTGTGACAAATGGTGCGTCCCTGTTGCCAGTTACCCAGAGGCAGAGGCAGGCAGGAATCTGGGAACAGAAGCACTGTTGTCACGTCACTCCGGAGACTGCAAGTGGAGGAGCCTCTGGCTTCTTGACTTCGCAGCTTCAGCAACGTGGAGCCAGCGCGAAGTTGTCACCTTCCTGTAGGAAGCTGAGGCGGAGAAGCGCAGCGAGGAGCCAGTGATGCGACCGGGCATCGCTCCTCGCGGGGCGCTGGGACCCACCTTGTCCTCCCGGAGCTTCAATCTGAGCAGCTCGCGTGCCTCCTTCACCTTCGCAGATTCGAGAAGCGGAACGGATCTGCCCAGATTGGGCCCGGCTCCTGGCCCCTTTCCCACGTGTGTGTATTTCCCCAGGATCTGTGAGTTTCCAAACATGGGATGCGCTCCTCGCACCTGCTGGAGAGGGAGGCTGGGGTTCCCGACTCCCTGCCAGGGCGCGTGCCGTGGGCCTCTCTGCTTACACTGCATTTCTGGGCGTCTGCGAGGTTGCCTCAGGGTGAGATTAGCGTATGAGTCGCATCATCTCATTCCAGGAGGCCAGAATAGAACAAAAGGTGGAGAAGGACAAGTTCACACACACAGGCCCTGCTTCTTGGCCGTCTGCCTGAGCCAGGACACCTGGCTTCATCCTCCCAGCCCTCAGGGAGGGCTGGACACCATTGCTCCCGGGCTTTGGACCCAAGTCAGTCACACCACCTGCTTCCTTGTGTCTCCCGTGTGCAGACGGCGCCTGGGGAAGCAACTCTGTACAGATCGATGGCGCTCCTACTGGTGCTGCATCCCGACCGATGCCCTCCACCCCTGCCTCGTGCCCACATTGCCAACCTGGATCTCTGCTTCTCCAGTCCTCGTCAGCCCCCAGGGCCTTTTCCCCCTCCAGGGCCCTCCCACCTGCTAGGGTCCGCACCATCTTTGGAACACACCAATCTGACCAAAGCTCCCGTGCTTCCCAAGTTTCACACCCAAGGCCCTGGGGAATTTGGCTCCTGAAGACTTTCCAGCCTCATCCTCCACCCATCCCCTTTTCTGCTGCCTCTATGGAACACAAGGCCGCAGAGCTCCCCGCTGTCTCCGTGGCTAGGCCTCCCACCAGAAGCTGCTTGCAGTCTATTCTGCCACCCAGCATCACCTATGGGGCACGTAGGAACTGCTGGGCACGCGACAGGTGTCAGATGTACAGATGGCTGTGAGAATATAGCTCCAGGGATCAAAAGGGATGCTGTAGAAGGCTGAGCTCAGCCCCCTGGCCTGGCCCTCAGGAGAGGACTGCCCCCAACACACACCATCTGTCTGCCTGGTGTAGCAGCAAGGCTGTTCTGTAGTTTGCAGAAGAAAGTTTAGACATTGCGTACACAGACATTTCACACCCATTAGGATAGCTGCCATCAAAAAAGCCATAAAATAAGTCTTGGCAGGGGTGAGGAAGAGCTGGCATACTCATGCATGGCTGGTGGGAATATGAAATGGCACAGCCACTATGGAAAACAGTTTGGTGTCCCTCAAAATATTAAACATGCAATCTTCACAGGATCCGGCACCTCCCCTCCGAGAGCGAATCCACAGAGCGGGAAGCGGGCGCGCACGAGGCCCTCGCACACCCAGGAGGGCGGGTGATTGGTGAGCAGAGACAAAGCTTTGGTCAGAGACGATGAAAAAGATCTGGAGGTGGGTGGTAGTGACAGGGGCACAACGATCTGACTGAACCTATGCTGCTGAACTACACACTCAGAAACGGCGACAATGGTAACGTTCACGTTGTTCATATTTTACCACAGTTAAAGATGCCTATGTAAAACTGCTGCTTGCATGCAATAACTGAACAACCAAACAAAACAACTAAATAATAATAGAACAACAATTTGGGGCCATGGACAGTAGGCAAGACAGCACATGGATCTCTGAGAGAAAAGAAAGAAAGAAGCCAGCTCTGTGAGCCCCCTGCCTCGTGCTTAGACATGGGCAGGGGTCAGAAGGCAGGGGTCAGCCCTGGGACTTGAGCTGACCAGTGCAGCACTGAGCTAGCTCCCCAAAGCCAGGGCAGGCCCCTGGGAGAGGCGCAGGCAGAGGCTTCCTTGGAGCCTCCAGGAGGCCAGGAGCAAGTTAGAGAAACCTCATAAGGCACAAAGCACAGGGAGGGTAATCAGAGGGCAGTGGCCTCCCAGAGAGACAGAATTAGCCCTGTACTAAGAGCCATTCAGGTCCCAGTGAACACAGCTTAGAAGTAAAAAAAGACCAAGCTGTGTCCACATAGTGTAATGGCTTTCGGGAACAAAACTCATGAGTATGCAATTACCCAGCACTCCGCAGAGTAACGTTTATAATTCCAGCATCCAATTAAAAGGTATTAAGAGTGCTAAGTAATAGGAAAATATGACTCATGATCAGGAGCAAATATCCATCTGTAGAAATAGCCCCCCAAAAGACACTGATGACACAGTAGTAGACAAGGATGTAAACAGTTATTGCCACTGTATTTTGTATGCTAAGCCGGTATAGGAGAGCACAGGATGTTGGACGAGATGTGATGATATAAGAAAGGTACAAATTGGGTGGGCAGAGGATTTTTAAGATAGGATTAACAGCAGAGCATACACTGTAGAGAAAACCACAGTGCCCCTGGAGACAGCCACAGGGCCCGGCCAGAAGGACGCGGTGAAAAGGCGGGCAAGCAGGACAAGCGCTTGTGAGCCACAGGACAAACACAGCCACAGCCCCTGGGGGATGGGCAGGTGCCCTCGGGGGTCTTCAGCGACTACGATCTCAGTGTTTCCAAATCTGAACAAAACTACAAACCCACAGACACGAGAAGTCTGCCGAAGAAAGATGAAGAGAACACTACCAAAACTCATCAGAGTAAAACTGCCCAAATCCAGCGATAAAGAGACGCTTCATGTGAAAGCAGCCAGCGCTGGCGAGGGCAGGGCGGCGCGTCTACACCACGACAGTCGTCGGGAGGACATGGCGTCTCCCCAGGGACAGTGGTCACACAGCACCGCACAGTGACCTCCCAGAGTACAAAGCCGGCTGCAGAGGATCACGGGGCCACCAAGGCAGACGTTCCAAACACACGCGCACACACAGATTCTCCAGATGTACACACGTGAAAGAAACCCATCCTCGGCCAAACTTCAGTGCCAACAGTGACACCCCGGGTCCTTCTAGCGGAAGGCAAAGGACAGCAAGAGCGTGTGAAGCAGCAAACGGGTAAACAGGGAATCCGTTTTCTCTTACATTACAGCAGCTCATCAGAGCCTACCTGGCCATTTTGAGTAAACTCAGTAACAATGTACTGCAGGGCTAAGACCTATGTGGGACTAAAAGGCAGGGCGACAGTAACAAGAAGTCTGGAAAAGAAGGAGTGGGGGCCTTGCCTGGCTCTGGCACTGTGCTTGGGGACCTGACGACACCTACTAAACAAATGCCTGTGCTCTAATAAAAAATAGAAACACAAAGGAGGTTTTGGGACTCTCAGTGTAGCCCAGGCAAGTCCGGTGTGTCCAACCCTGGACCACAGGTTAGACGCTGCCTACAGCTACTGTGAGTGTGTGTGTGTGTGTGTGTGTGTGTGTGTGTGTGTCTTGTTTGGAATGTCTGGGGATTGAACCTAGGGCCTTCCCACTGTGCCACATCCTCAGCCCTCTTTTTTTTTTTAAACTTTTCATTTTGAGACAGAGTCTCACTAAGTCACTAAGTTGCCCCAGGTGGGATCCAACCTGAAATCCTCCTGCCCCACCTCCTACAGTGCTGGGCTTAGAGGCTTGAGTAACCTCTATTTTTAAAAAAAGCCAGTAGAAAATACAAACTGAAATAACAAAATTTTTCAAAATAGCCAAAGGAAGTCAGGAAGGGGGGAACAAAGAATATACGAGACAAATCAAAAGCAAGCAGCAAGATGGTAGATTTAAAGTAAATTATGCCAGTAATCCTTTATATGTAAGATGCTATAAACACCTCACAGAAGAAACAAAGCATTGTCATGTTAAATAAAACAAGAACAAATTATATGGCTCTTTGTTGAAAAGACACAGATAACGAATAAAAGGAGAGAAACTGTGCATTATGCTGACAGTAATCAGATGAGAACTAGAGTAGCTACATTAGTATCAGACAAAGCAGATTCCAGAGCAGAGGGTATTAATAAGGATTATGATAATCATTTAATAATGTTAAAGGAGTCAATTCACCAAGGCATAACAACCTGAAGTGTTCATACCTCTAATAACAGAGCTGCAAAAGGTCTGGAACAAAGGCTGACAGGACTCAGAGGAGAAACAGGCTAATCAACAATTATAGTTGGAGACCACAGCAAGCTCTTAAAAAGCAATACACAAAAACACAGAAAACCAGCAAGGACATAGGGCTTCTGGACATCTGTGAGTCCGTTTGATCTGGTTTGAGATTTACAGAATGTCCCACCTAACTATAGCAGAAGACACATTTTTTCCAAGTACACACAAATACTAGCAAGACAGATCTTATTCTGGGGCAAATAAATTGAATAAATTTATGAGGATTCAGGTCTTACAAGGTGTGTGTTC